CACTTCTAGACAAAGCAAAAGTAGTGGTAAGCGAGCTCAACACAGAATCAATAATCGAAAAAAAAGGCACAAACGAATTTGAATTGTTTAGCAAAAGTGTTGGCGTCCAACTAAATTCCATGAGTTTAGAAAATGCTTTGCGGGCGCAAAGCGTGATACAAAACTTTCTTACAAAAGTGCGATTGCAGGAATTAAAAACCTGCAATCGCACTTTTGTTGTTCCTACACCATCTCCGAGTCATGTGCCTACACCATCTCCGAGTTATGTGCGTACACCATCTCCGAGTTATCTGTCTACACCATCTCCGAGTTATGTGCCTACACAAACCACTTATGAGTATACGTCTACTCAAGAAGCTCCTACAGATAGTGGACAATCATCTATGTCTGAAATACCTCACTCTGAGTTTATTGTGACATATACTCTTAATATTTCATCTGATACAGCACATTTCAGCCACGACGCTGCAATAAATCTTGATAGGGGTGATTTGCTTGATCTAAGTGACCAACAAACTGCAGCTCAACAATCTTATCATAGGCTATGGCAAATATTCCTATGTAGACATCGAACAAAATTACTAATCAATGTAACTTTGTTCAACGTCTACATAGGAATATTTCATTGTTTCCAAGTATTAAAGTTATGTGATTTATTATTAAAGTTTTATAAAGTTATGTTATGTGATTATAGTGACCAAGTGTATGTGCAAGCACAGGTGCACTCTCTATTCCCTCACTCTCGTAGTCCGATGGGACGGTATACCGACACGACCGGAGAGAGATCAGGCGCAGGAACAACGGCTTAACGTGCTTTTACCCATTGTTTGTTTGCATAGGCGCCTTAAGATACCATCGCCAACTGTCAGCTGTCTGCTGGCTCAAGTTGCCGTCAAAATCTCCCAAGGGTTAGAGGTGTCCACTTAAAATATATATCGATATTTATATTCCATGTAAAACATCGGATCCCAGCATCGATGTTAATCGATATATCGCTTGAAAATATCGATACTTTTCCACTATCGAATACTTTCCACAAAAGTTTAATATTACCTTTTTCCAGTGAAACGTGCAAAGTTTGTGGTCTTTGATTTTGTATGTGTGAATGTAGAATCAGAAACCAGAGTAGCAAGTAAAAGTTTTACATAGACTTGTCTTAGATTAACAATCAAAAGAATGATTAATTAAATCGTTACCGCCAAACCGCAGAAGACGACGCAAGAAGAGTGAAAGTGAGTGACTGAAAGTAAATATAATGAACCTACAGAATCCACAGACTACATACATCGAGAGTGAACGGTCGATCGATCTGTCAGCATAGATTTGGTAATTAAGCTGGTCACTCACAGATATCACTATCTTAATGAACTTTACTTAAAATTTAAATCATCAAGTAGTGTTTAAATTATTTAGTTTTTTAATTGATTCGACATAAAAATAAAAAAGCAAATATTCGATTTTCTATAAATAAATATATCGATATATCGAATACAATAAATATTTGTCAAAACATCGAATCCATCCCATATATCGTTCGGAAAACATCGAATAAATTCGATATATCGATGTTAAGTGAATATCCCTACCAAGGGCTGCACAATGTGACGCATCAACATATTGTGAAGCAGTAAAATTCTAAATACTCAAAATAAAAAAGACAAGGCTGTATGGCATAGTTCCTTTGCCTGCTCTTTCGAGCGAATAATAAAAACAACAACAACAACAATCTACAAAAACAAAACATAAACTTTCTAAATAAACTTTATCTTTTCAATTATCTTGATTTATCTTATAATAGTATAATCTATTGCAAACTATCTAATTTATCTATCCGGGTAATTTTGTTGTGAACCTATTCATTTTATTGTTTTACTTGATTCCTGTAAGTTACATTTTCCTGTTATATTGGTTTTAATAACTTTTTAGAGACAAGAGTTTAAGCATATGTAGTTCGCTCAGATGTTATGATTATATTTTATCAACAAGTATTTTATAGACATTTTTATGAAATAACATATACTGTTATCATTGAGATATGTGTTACGTACGTACTACATATTTATTGACGACTTGTACGTTTGTTATTTATTTCATACAATCACTATAATTTGTTACTTCATATGTCATTGTATGAAACTGCTTATATTTTCTCTTTTAAAAATATTGATGGAGGTATCACACACCACACCAAACTTTAATAGACTTTTTTACTTGGAAGAGCTATGCTGCAGCTATAATATGGCTGCGGCACGAATGGGTCGGCTCTACCAGCGTAAGACCACTCTCTTACAGAATATCACCATTAAACAGCGGAATAATGCTGTGTTATGTATGATTAGTGTAAGACAATGAGAAACCCTTTTTACTGGAAACCAAGGCATTCCATCTAAGTCCTCAGGGTTGACAATGCATCTGCATTTTGATTCTTAATCGAGGATAAATGCAGATGTCTATTGGCCATAACATCTACTTAACATCAGGTAGACTATGTGCTCGTTTGTCACCCTTATTAAAACTCCAAAAAAAGCAGCATTAAGCTGCCTTTTCATTTGACTTTGTATTCTGTGAGAGTATTCCTTCCACTGTTGAGCCGATCCATTTGTGCTACATCCATTATAGCTGCAGTGTGGCTCCACCACATATAGAATGTGTTGTATATGCCCAACATTTAATTGAAAATACAAAAGAATAAAATAAATGTTTTTGGAATAATAAAGAATGATTCAACATAATGTATAACCATTGCATAATGCTAATGATGACTTACGGAACAGACATTTTTACTACTGTCCATTAAGTAACCTTAGAATTTCTCTGGATGGTAAAAACCTGTAACAAGAACAAACAACAAAGATACAGAAGAACAAGAGTAACTGACATAGCTCAGTGCATCAGTAGGCTGAAATGACTATGGGCCAACTTTTTTTTAATTGGATAAGGGTGACAAGCGAAGCACACAGTCCACCTGATGGTAAGTGGTTGCTGTTGCCCATAGACATCTACATCTATCCACGTTTGCGAATCAAAATGCCGTGAGGACTAAGATGGAATGCCTCTTATCTAGTAAAAAGGGTCTCCGGTTCTCAAAACTCACCATACGTAACACAGCAACATTAAGCTACTTGGTATATATTGGTATTCAGAAAACCTTTATTAACTTATAGTTCAAAGAAGTAACAACCAATAGGGAGTAAAGGTTTTTGAGTGGCACCTTAATATTATTGGTAAGTACAGTGTTGACCAATCCATCTCTAGTTGTAATGGTTTGATGAAATATGCAGGGAGGTGATGGATGCAAGTGGCACAGGAGCAAGCACCTTTTGGCATTCTATGGGGAAGATGTTGTTAAAGACTTGCTATGAGCTGTAATTTTTTCAACTCACTGACTTCTTCAATAATGTGATTAGCATGGTGATACTAGTAAAGATGAAGCCTATGTATGGCATATTGCTTAATACAGGTCTCCTCTCACTTCTGAGACGTTTTTAGAGCAGAGAAGAGTTTGCTGCACTGTTCCATTGCATGTTTGCCGAGTTCACATGTTCTTAAAATATTAATTCCTCAGACATTTTCTTAGACATGCCGTTTCTTTTTCCATTGACCACATTATCTTCTTCTTCATCTTTAAAAAATGTTATACTTACACTAGAATATTCTCCTGTATGGTGGAGGCAGTTTAAATCTTTACATAAATTGCACCAGAATTAACATCCAGACTCTGAACAATTATTTGCAGGCTACACAAATATTTGTTCTGTGCGTGATTTATATCTTCGCCCCTCAGCGCTGTAACGCATAGGTAAGCCGCTGCGCCATGGCACCACCCACATCACATGGTCAATTAGCACTGCTCAGTCCTTGGGCTACCTCATGTAAGCTAGAATTGCCACAGTTGGTTTCTGGTTCTTCCCAGGACATGTGTATTTTCCGAACTATTGGTAAATAAAAAAAATACTTTCAATAATATTAGGTAAAAATTTATATTGAATAAAAATTATTCTTTTCTATTCCACGCACAACGAAACGGTATGTCCTGTCTCTAGCGAGACGAATGGCAACCGTACTTATAGCACACAGCACAAATGTTACTCATTAAAAAGTTTGACTGTCGTTCAAGTGTTTGGTGTGGTTATAATTTTATTGCACACATCGAATACGAAGCGGAGATGTAGTGCTCTTATGTCACCAAATCAAAAAATCGCGATCACTCAAATCATTCTGCCAGCTTTTTATTGCACTTATATAAAAAAAAACATGCGTGAGTGTTGTGGAACACTCGGTTGGAACGAAGTTCCTTTCGTAGTATATTATTATTTATAAACATATTATATTATTGATTAAACAAATAGAAATAAATGAATTACTAGCGTCTATTAAAATGAAGCGTCATTGAAAATAAAATAATATTTCTTTCATGGCAAGATAAGCAAAAGTGCGAGGGAGATGGATATTATTCCATCTCGCTTCCTTGTAGCCGCCAAGGCCGTCTACACTCGGAAGGGGTCGTGACGGAAAAATCTTACACTTTTCTCGCCTAGCCCCCATCCGCCAAATTCGTGCCATGCGATAAGGAACTTCGTTCCAAAAAAAGTATACCAATAGCAAGAGGAGATTTCAATTAATACTTCTGACGGTTCTAAGATTATATTTATTACAGTTATTATAAAAAAACAACTTAATCATTTCACTTTGACGTCCGTTGGTCGGTACTCGGTATGGATGTGAACAAGATATTTTTCGAAGACTGAACTTATTTTTTTTATTAGCTTTAGATTTTAATCCCAGCCTTTTGAATTTCACTTACAATAGTGAAATTCAAAAGGCTGGGATTAAAATCTACCGTACTGTTGGAGGTGTTCACTTTTGGATTTACCATTTTTTTTTAAATTACTGTGACCCGGTCTCCCCAAGTTTGCCTCATAAGAATATTTAAAGTGTACTTAATTTTCACTGTATGTATATTTTTATTAATTTAATCACTTGTATTTATACAATAGGGAATGGAAGACCAGATTGAGGAAATGGAGTTAAAACCGGTGAATGTTAGGCGCACCTTCACTCTAAGGAGCAATGTGGCCCGACAGGTGGCTGTTAATTTCATGCCGTCAAGACAGCTGCCGTACGGTAAGTATTAATTACATAATATGCAGTGTTTTGGCGGCTTGGACGAATCCATCACAACATTTCGTGCCTTTCGTAAAACTAGTAGTAGTAGTAACTAGATGACAGTATACCACCTCTTATAATGTACTCCAGATCCAATTTCGCGGTCACTGCGGAAAATCTCGTCGGTGACTAGGAATCCGTGCAGTGTGCGCGCAAGCACAGGTTCTTGCTCTCTTTCACTCGTAAAGTCCGATGGAATGCATAGCAATCCGACATGCTCGGAGAGAGAATAGGCGCAGGAACGGCTTTACGTGCTTTACGAGGCACGGGCATGAAACACGTCTAACTTCAAGAAGTTAGACGTGTCAAGACTCCTGGCTGCTACTGAGAATTTCTTGACATAAAAGCCCTGATTTTGGCCCGAACTGGGAATCAAACCAAGTAGCACATGATCAACAGTTGTGCTCTCGACCACTATAAAATGAGGCAGGCACAGGTCGGCGACAGGGAGCAGAGTCACACGTGCGAGACATCTGTACTGTGATCCGATTGCAAAGAGATTACGGAAATTTCTTACAGTAGGTGAGGCTTATGTCCAGCGGTGCATTTTTATAAGTTGATAAGAATAAACTAATTATTGCATACCTTAAGCGAAAGCGCAAGGTATGTTCTACTATCGCCTAAAAATTAAGATTCCAACGTTTTATCGAATAAAATCGTATCTAGCAATCATATTATACATATAAATGATATAAAAAGCACATTGTTAGAAAGATAAATGATTGTTGAACTTATTAATATATTTTTTAAATCGATTAATTGCTATTTTTAAATAAAAAATGGGGTTTTAGTGGCTTATGGTGTGGATTTATCATGTCCCCAAGGCTTGTAAACACGATATCTTTTGAAAATATCAATTGTTTAACTCAATCTATTTTTTAATCTCTTCATCTATTATGTGGGAACCCACTGAATGTAAACGGCAGTGTAATTTTGTTTTGTTTAGCTATAATTAATTTTTTTCGGCTCCATAATGGCGACATTTTCGTTGATTTGTTAGCCTTGTATGTAAATTATTTCTGTAAATGGGGAGCTACATCCACCACAGAGTAGTTTAGTTCGGCTTCAGTCGCCGTCGTGAGAAGACATTGTTTCGGTTGTTTGCAGCGGCTCAAAAAGATCGCTGTACAAATACACAATATTCAAATAACCAAATTTCTTAAATACTTGATTATTATAATAATAATAAGAGATTTTTTTTATTACAATATTTTAAAAGCACAGAATAAATAATAGTAGTACGTACTAAAAGTAATTAGTATATATTTTTTTGTCTTGGGTGAAATTTTCATAGTTTTCGAGGGTGTTGAAACCGATAGGGTTGTCGAAATGTAAATCCAAGATGGCGGCAGCAATAGGTATCAATTTTTTCATCATGGGTGTCATTTTCATGGTTTTCGAGGGTGCTGAAGCCGATAGTGCTGTCGAAATGTAAATCCTAGATGGCGGCTGCAATAGGTATAAATTTTTTCATCGTGGGTGTTATTTTCATGGTTTTCGAGGGTGTTGAAACCGATAGTGCCGTCGAAATGTAAATCCAAGGTGGCGGCTGCAATGGGTATCAATTTTTTCATCATGGGTGTCATTTTCATGGGTTTCGAGGGTGTTGAATCCGATAGTGCTGTCGAAATGTAAATCCAAGATGGCGGCTGTAGTAGGTACCAATTTTTTCATCATGGGTGTCATTTTCATGGGTTTCGAGGGTGTTGAATCCGATAGTGCTGTCGAAATGTAAATCCAAGATGGCGGCTGTAGTAGGTACCAATTTTTTCATCATGGGTGTAATTTTCATGGTTTTCGAGGGTGTTGAAGCCGATAGTGCTGTCGAAATGTAAATCCAAGATGGCAGCTGCAATAGATATCAATTTTTTCATCATGGGTGTCATTCTCATGGTTTTCGCGAGTGTTGAAGTCGATAGTGCTGTCGAAATGTAAATCCAAGGTGGCGGCTGCAATGGGTATCAATTTTTCCATCATGGGTGTCATTTTCATTGGTTTCGAGGGTGTTGAAGCCGATAGTGCTGTCGAAATGTAAATCCAAGGTGGCGGCTGCAATGGGAATCAATTTTTCCATCATGGGTGTCATTTTCATGGGTTTCGAGGGTGTTGAAGCCGATAGTGCTGTCGAAAAGTAAATCCAAGATGGCGGCTGTAGTAGGTACCAATTTTTTCATCATGGGTGTAATTTTCATGGTTTTCGAGGGTGTTGAAGCCGATAGTGCTGTCGAAATGTAAATCCAAGATGGCGGCTGAATTAGGTATCAATTTTTTCATCATGGGTGTCACTTTCATGGTTTTCGAGAGAGTTGAAGCCGATAGTGCTGTCGAAATGTAAATCCAAGATGGCGGCTGAATTAGGTACCAATTTTTTCATCATGGGTGTCACTTTCATGGTTTTCGAGAGAGTTGAAGCCGATAGTGCTGTCGAAATGTAAATCCAAGATGGCGGCTGCAATAGGTATCAATTTTTTCATCATGGGTGTCATTTTCATGGTTTTCGAGAGAGTTGAAGCCGATAGTGCTGTCGAAATGTAAATCCAAGATGGCGGCTGCAATAGGTATCAATTTTTTCATCATGGGTGTCATTTTCATGGTTTTCGAGAGAGTTGAAGCCGATAGGGTTGTCGAAATGTAAATCCAAGATGGCGGCTGCAATAGGTATCAATTTTTTCATCATGGGTGTCATTTTCATGGTTTTCGAGAGAGTTGAAGCCGATAGGGTTGTCGAAATGTAAATCCAAGATGGCGGCTGAAGTAGGTACCAATTTTTTCATCATGGGTGTAATTTTCATGGTTTTCGAGGGTGTTGAAGCCGATAGTGCTGTCGAAATGTAAATCCAAGATGGCGGCTGAATTAGGTATCAATTTTTTCATCATGGGTGTCACTTTCATGGTTTTCGAGAGAGTTGAAGCCGATAGTGCTGTCGAAATGTAAATCCAAGATGGAGGCTGAAGTAGGTACCAATTTTTTCATCATGGGTGTCATTTTCATGGGTTTCGAGGGTGTTGAATCCGATAGTGCTGTCGAAATGTAAATCCAAGATGGCGGCTGTAGTAGGTACCAATTTTTTCATCATGGGTGTAATTTTCATGGTTTTCGAGGGTGTTGAAGCCGATAGTGCTGTCGAAATGTAAATCCAAGATGGCAGCTGCAATAGATATCAATTTTTTCGTCATGGGTGTCATTCTCATGGTTTTCGCGAGTGTTGAAGTCGATAGTGCTGTCGAAATGTAAATCCAAGGTGGCGGCTGCAATGGGTATCAATTTTTCCATCATGGGTGTCATTTTCATTGGTTTCGAGGGTGTTGAAGCCGATAGTGCTGTCGAAATGTAAATCCAAGGTGGCGGCTGCAATGGGAATCAATTTTTCCATCATGGGTGTCATTTTCATGGGTTTCGAGGGTGTTGAAGCCGATAGTGCTGTCGAAAAGTAAATCCAAGATGGCGGCTGTAGTAGGTACCAATTTTTTCATCATGGGTGTAATTTTCATGGTTTTCGAGGGTGTTGAAGCCGATAGTGCTGTCGAAATGTAAATCCAAGATGGCGGCTGAATTAGGTATCAATTTTTTCATCATGGGTGTCACTTTCATGGTTTTCGAGAGAGTTGAAGCCGATAGTGCTGTCGAAATGTAAATCCAAGATGGCGGCTGAATTAGGTACCAATTTTTTCATCATGGGTGTCACTTTCATGGTTTTCGAGAGAGTTGAAGCCGATAGTGCTGTCGAAATGTAAATCCAAGATGGCGGCTGCAATAGGTATCAATTTTTTCATCATGGGTGTCATTTTCATGGTTTTCGAGAGAGTTGAAGCCGATAGGGTTGTCGAAATGTAAATCCAAGATGGCGGCTGAATTAGGTATCAATTTTTTCATCATGGGTGTCACTTTCATGGTTTTCGAGAGAGTTGAAGCCGATAGTGCTGTCGAAATGTAAATCCAAGATGGCGGCTGAATTAGGTACCAATTTTTTCATCATGGGTGTCACTTTCATGGTTTTCGAGAGAGTTGAAGCCGATAGTGCTGTCGAAATGTAAATCCAAGATGGCGGCTGCAATAGGTATCAATTTTTTCATCATGGGTGTCATTTTCATGGTTTTCGAGAGAGTTGAAGCCGATAGGGTTGTAGAAATGTAAATCCAAGATGGCGGCTGCAATAGGTATCAATTTTTTCATCATGGGTGTCATTTTCATGGTTTTCGAGAGAGTTGAAGCCGATAGGGTTGTCGAAATGTAAATCCAAGATGGCGGCTGCAATAGATATCAATTTTTTCATCATGGGTGTCATTTTCATGGGTTTCGAGGGTGTTGAAGCCGATAGTGCTGTCGAAATGTAAATCCAAGATGGCGGCTGAAGTAGGTACCAATTTTTTCATCATGGGTGTAATTTTCATGGTTTTCGAGGGTGTTGAAGCCGATAGTGCTGTCGAAATGTAAATCCAAGATGGCGGCTGAATTAGGTATCAATTTTTTCATCATGGGTGTCACTTTCATGGTTTTCGAGAGAGTTGAAGCCGATAGTGCTGTCGAAATGTAAATCCAAGATGGAGGCTGAAGTAGGTACCAATTTTTTCATCATGGGTGTCATTTTCATGGTTTTCGAGGGTGTTGAAGCCGATAGTGCTGTCGAAATGTAAATCCAAGATGGCGGCTGCAATAGGTATCAATTTTTTCATCATGGGTGTCATTTTCATGGTTTTCGAGGGTGTTGAAGCCGATAGTGCTGTCGAAATGTATTTAAACTACTTTAAAAATTCCACATAATCATGATATACGTAATTTTTTTAATGTGCTTAAGGTATGCCCAATTGGATTTACCAATATATTTTAATCTGGAGGTAGCCGTGGTTAACTATGATATTGGGAAGTTAAACACCTCAATCCCCCCTGTGACCTTGGGTGCTGTAAAATGCCCGAAACGTGGGGAATATAAAATAATAAGTACATACACGATAAAATCCGTAAAAACTAGTTTTATTTAAATGTGTAGTGTTCGCGTAAATATAACAAATCATTATGATAATAATAAGTTTTGCTGTGAAAGTATCGATAACCCCATTTCGTTTTGACATCGTTTCCTATATTAGACTATATTAGATCATTACAGCAGTTCACAAGTCCACTGCGCAATATAGGCTTTAAAATACGGTCCTGAGCCATCCATTCTTCGACTTTTTGCATGTCTTACCAGGTAGGCAGTTCAATGTTAAATGCCGTGATATAAAATATTAAAGCAGCGTCTGTGCCGCTCTACTCTATGACGTTTAATGGACTCTTAACAAGCTCTAATTAAGTTAGCAGCTTAACAGAGAAAACTTTGCCCTTGTGTATCAAAACCTTATATCAGCGTTGCGATTCACATGTAAAATTTCGCTCTAAAATATCTTTCAGTTATCTTCTACTCCATTTACTGAATGTTAAGTATATTATTGTTTTCAATTTTATAAAATGAATGCTGCTCCGTGCGACGAAGCTGCAACCAGCCTGTTTTACAGTGAGTACGCTCGTTTGAAAAAAATAAAAATATTATTTAATCTGATATTTACTAATTACCAGAGAAAATGTTCCGGAAAAATTCATAACGCGGATAAACCCAATTAAAGTTTAGTTTCATTGTCCTTTTGTGTATTAACGTAGGTAGTTAATTTTGACGTTAGTAATGTTAATAAGGACGGCGTTAGTCACGTACGTATTAACGAATAACGTAGTTTAGCATTTAATGTGATAACAAAATTAACAATAATGTCCTCTAGACCAAATTACGGTCATGACGGCCAGTCGCAAGCTCAAGTAAGACTGAAGAGGTATCATCAACGGAAGGCAGCCATCTGCGCATGACAGGGTTATGGTGCACGAGTGTGTGTGCGGAAGCACAGGTGCATTCTTTATTTCTGCACCTTCATAGTCCGATTTTTGGTCTGATCCTGGATTTGAACCCGCGGCCACAGGATTTGCAGTCACGCCATTAGAACAATAGCCCGATAATCAAGGTACCTGAATGGGAAATCGTGGGTTCTTCTCTTATGCAATCGGCAGTTCATTGTATGCAGTATCCATTTATTATACAAACTACATATATTAGTTCGCAACGGTTCGACTTGCAAATAATGTATGACATGTAATACGCAACAGCGTATTAATTTCTTACATCGGCATATCGTTTGCACCAGTGTCAACTTTTTTCAAGTCTTAGAGTGGACTATATCACTTTCTGTAAGATGCAATAAGATTTTTTTATCGTTATCTTCATCCATTCAGCCATTAAAAGAATAAAACACAATTTGACGGCGCCGTGGCGCAGTGGCTTAGCAATGCGTTGCTCCGCTGGGGGCCGCGGGTTCGAATCCCGTACGGAACAAGTATTTGTATGGCCTACAAATAATTGTGCCGGGTCTGGATGTTTATCCTTGTGCTATTTGTGTTTGTAAACTGCCTCGGCGATACAGGAGAATATCCTAGTATGGGGGTAACGTTTTTACAAAAAAAAAAAGCAACAAAATAAAATAAAAGAGCATATAAAAGTCCGCTGCTGATCGTAAGCCTCCCCATAGGTTGTTCTCCAAAGGGGGATTTGGCAGGCGAGTTGGCAACTGCAGTTTATGTTATCAGGAAGGTGCTGGTATTCACATCCTGTTTATTTCCCTTTGTCGCCTCTTACGACACCCACGGGACGTTATGGGGTAGTGGATATTGTTACACCGCCACTACACGGTTAATCATTGTCTTAGAGGACTTAAATGATGATCGACAAAGTGTGACGACGGCTCCTTTAACGTTGTTGAGTATTGTATTGTAAGAGGTACATTTCAGGCACGTTACGTTTGCGTCGTACCACCTCGGAGAATAATGTATTGCTGGAGTCGAGCGGCGATGAGACCGACAAGCAGGCTGAGATCATCGTGCGAGAGATGGAACAACACCAACGCCTCATGGAGGACAATCCCGTGTCCGAAGAACTCAGAAGGTAGGTAACAACTTGCTTCTAGTTAGGTATAGAGTAACACCGCTGCAGAGACTGTACAACAGAAGGTTAACTCGTCAAAGTACGTTTCAAAATTTAAAAGAGAATTTTGAGTTCTAAAACCAGGAGGGGAAAGACATGAGTTGTGTCCGCTTGGGTACGGCGAGATGCCTCCATCAATTTCTGCCCTACCAACAGAAAAAGCATAAGAAAAAATTTTGTAATTATAAAATTTCAGAGAGGCCTTGCGAGATTTGCCGCAGGGTTTGACTATGAAGAGAAATGTACGCGCTAAATTGTCAGCCTCGGTCAGCCTGCGGTCTAAGCACAGACCCATCAACATGTTCAAGCGCCTCAAGTACCGGATAAGTTTCGCATGGAAGAAGGTTAGCTCGTTTTATCCTCAAAGACCAGGATCTTTTTTGCACTTCATAAAGGCTCAGACGTACGTGCCGGTCGACGGTAGCATACGAAGTCGCCGACTCGTTTTTTTTAACATGTCAACGTTTATATATATATATATATATATATATATATATATATATATATATATATATATATATATATATATATATATATTTAAATATATAATGCTAAAAATTAAAAATATAATGGTAAAATATTCTGAAATATCTGTAAAAAATGAATTTCAATAGTAACAAAAAATAAAACTCAAAAAAACCGAGGGAAAAATTTGCAATATTGTTTAATAAGCTGCGTATTCGGCGTTTCGGGGGGAGCGAAATTCCGCTCAAGACGAAACCTTCGTATCTCTCCTGCCCGAAGTATAAATTAGAACACTGCTTTGTGCCCCGGCCTGGAGTTTGCGTGTACGTCAGAGAGGACATTTGTTTTCGACGCCTCGGCAGTCTTGAAGGTACGGACCTGTCCATCCTATGGCTGCGCGTAGACAGCGACGACCATCCCCGCATCTACGCGTGCCTCTATAGGTCCCATAGCGGTAATGCCGACACCGACCGACTCATCGACCACGTTCAAAAGGCTGCAGACTCCGTGCAACAACAGGTCCCATCCGCAGAGATCGTGATACTCGGTGATTTCAGCGCCCACCACGCTGAATGGCTTGGTTCCCGTTTAACCGATCATGCGGGTAGATCTGCTTATGACTTTGCCTTGGCATATGGTCTGACACAACGGTTGCTTCGCCTACGCGGATCCCAGATGTGGAGGCTCATGTACCTTCCCTGTACGACCTTCTGCTAACCTCTCATCCGGACGGATATCAGGTCTCCGTCGATGCCCCACTTGGCTCTTCGGACCATTGTCTTATCCGGAGTATGGTTCCACTCACGCTCCCATCGTAGTTGCGATCTGCAGTTTGCCGCCGTGTTTGGCACTATAGGTCGGACGATTGGGACGGCATGTGGTCTTTTTTTGCATCCTACCCTTGGGAGCGGGTTTACTTCCCGCCGGATGATCCCAACGTTGTTGCTGATTATGTCGCTGATGTGGTACTTCAGGGGATGAAATTATATATTCCATTATCTGTGGTCCCTATCGGAGGCAGAACTCAGCCATGGTTTGATCATTCCTGTAAAATGGCATCATACTATAAGCAAGAGTGCTAACGGGTCTGATCTGATGCCTCAACGTCCCGGGATGTAGACACCAGCGCTCGTAAAAAGAAGTATAATTCCTCCTCCAGGTCCTTCAAAAGTGTCATTGACAAGGCAAAGTCAGAACACATCGGCAGAATTGGCGAGAAACTAGTTCGCTTTCCTTCGGGAACACGTGTGTTCTGGTCTCTCGCCACGGTTGTCCAAGGGAACTTCTGCCAGCCATCTCTGCCATCTCTGCACAGGGTGGACGACTCAAAGGCCCATGACGCAAAGTAGACAGCCGATCTACTAGGCTCTCTTTTTGCTTCCAACAATAGATCATGGGGAGAACACACCGCCGACCATCCCGCGGTGTGAGTGCTCCATCCAGGAAGTGCTGTTTACACAGCGCTCGGTGCGTAAAGCACTCCTCTTCCTGGACGTCTACAAGTCGAGTGAGCCTGATGGAGTTCCACCTATAGTGCTGAAGACGTGTGCTCCGGAGCTGGCACCGGTTTTAATGCGTCTTTTCCGGTACTTATACTCCCTAGGCGTAGTCCCGAAATCATGGAAGACAGCTTTGGTGCACCTGATCCCTCAAAAAGGCGACCGCTCAAATCCATCCAACTACAGGCCTATCGTTATCACCTCCTTGTTCTCCAAAGTAATGGAAAGCATTATTAACGGTCAGCTCATGCGGTACCTTGAGGATTACCAACTGATTAGTAACCGCCAGTACGGTTTCCGTCGAGGTCGCTCAGCTGTTGATCTTCTAGGTTACCTAACTCATAGATGGGCGGAGGCAGTGGAGTCCAAGGGGGAGGCGTTGGCCGTTACTTTGGACATAGCGAAGGCCTTCGATCGGGTCTGGCACATAGCGCTTCTTTCTAAGCTCCCTTCCTATGGGCTTCCCGAGAAATTGTGCAATTGGATCACCAGTTTTTTTGCAAATTGGAGCATCAAGGTCGTAGTAGACGGTGCATGCTCCGATTACAAGCCCATTAACGCTGGTGTTCCACAAGGCTGCGTGCTATCACCAACGCTGTTTCTTCTGCACATCAAAAATATGTTGCAAACCAGTAACATTCATTGCTGTGCAGACTACAGCACTGGTGATGCTTTATACACTGGCCGTGCCAATATTTCTCGGGAAAACGTCGCCGAGTACCTGAAATAACTTGTGTCTGAAGTCGAGACTTTGTTAAACAAAGTCTCAGACTGGGGGCGACTAAATCTAGTCCAGTTCAATCCCCAGAAGACACAAGTTTGCGCGTTTACCGCTAAAAAGAATCCCTTTGTAGTATCTCCTCAGTTTCAAGGCATTCCCCTTGTTGCCTAACCCAGTATTGGAATCCTCGGTGTCGACATATCGAGTGACGTGCAGTTTCGTGGTCACTTGGAAGAGAAGGCCAAATTGGCCTCTAAAAAGCTTGGCGTTCTCAACAGAGCGGGACAGTATTTGACGCCGGCACACCGCTTGCAACTTTACAAGGCGCAGGTTTGGCCTCACATGGAATACTGTTCCCATCTCTGGGCAGGGGCTCCCCAGTGCCAGCTCCTTCCACTTGACCGCATCCAGCGCAGAGCGGTTCTAATCGTCGACGACCGAGTTCTTTTTGATCGGCTTGTCTCACTGGTACTGCGTAGAGATGTTGCATCTCTTTGCGTATTTTATCGAGTGCTCAGAGGAAATGTTCGGACTAATTCCAGCCGCTCAATTTCACCATCGCACATCGCGACAAAACTCGCGATACCATCAATACCATCTGGATGATTGGCGGTCCACCACTGTGCGATTTAGAAGTTTTCTTCCTCGCACAACTACCTTGTGGAATCGATTACCACCAGCGATTTTCCCGAACCGATACGACTTAGGGACCTTCAAGAAAAATGCCTACTCCTTTTTAAAAGGCCGGCAACGCATCTGCAATTACCCTGGTGTTACAGTTGTTCATGGGTGGCGGTAGTCACATACCATCAGGTGAGCCGCATGCTCGTTTGTCCCTCTCATATAAAAAAGAAGAAAAAGAGAAAGTACCAAAATTTAAAGAAAAGAGATTTTTTTTTTAAATTTTGGTACTAAAAAAATTAATATTCCACGTTTTTTTCATATTCCTATATTGTTATCCCATTCTGAGCTATGTTCAAAATTTCGAGTCTCTAGCTCATCGCGAAGTGTTCGAAATTTGAGTTGCAAGATTCCACCCGGAACGACAGACAAACAAGGAAGTGACTTAATAAAAACGTGGTAGAAACCGTTGACGAAATGCAAATTCCATACAATTATTAAGTTGCATGCGTTGTTTCGATCAAAATTGGAATGTATTATTTGATCTTAATGAATTTATTAAATGATGATGATTACTATTTTACTAACAAATTCCACCTTGTTATTTTGACATAAGGTTAACAATCGAACATGCAATCCACTTATTAATACATATATGCAGTTATATGCAGTATCCTTGTAATATATATCCTATCATCTAGACTGTTTATGAATGAAAATATTACGTAGGTACGTAACAAAACATAAGCTATTTTGCGACTTTTGAGGACTAATATGAAATGCTTCATTCCCAGTAAAAACAATCACCGGTTTTCTATATGCACCATATGAAATACAGCAGCACTATGCTCTCTTAACGTGGTAGCTCAGGTGGTTAGCGCTCGCTGTAAGTTTCACAGTACGCGAGCAACCCGGGTTCGATCCCCACCGGCACCAATGTAATTGTTAATTGCAATTTTAAGTGCTGATTTACCACGTGTTCTACGATGAAGGAAAACATCGTGAGGATACCTGCATGTCTGAGAAATAAGAAAAAAATATATATTTCGAAGACATGTGAAATTCGTCAACACGCATTGGGTCAGCACGGCGGACATGTCCTTGCCCTAAAACCCTCTCAGAAATGAGAGGCGGCCTGTGCCCAGCAGTGAGACGTATATAGGATGTAACTTTACAACATTGAGATATAATGTACTACGTACTAGAGAAGCTATTCCGAACAAAAACTGTGCACTACTCTATGTCTTCGCGCATGCGCGGTAAATAGTACAGTCGCGCATGCGCGGTTTTTGTCATCATAGATTATATACGTAGGTAGAATGATCAGTATGTAATAAGATGTTTATTTAGATTGTATTGTAAATTGTATCGAGTACAATTTTTTAAATTGTTATTTATATTGCATAATATGTTAATATAATGTAACATAATATTATGTCAGAATTACATTTTAATTATATTTTATTTAATACTTTAAAAGGTAAATATGTAGAATATAAAAATATGCATTTATTTTCAAAGATCATTATTATTACATTTCTAGCATTCTCTAACGTATTTTTACGCAGATGGTGAACAATAGTGTAAAATCAATGCGAATTTACGTAAAGGTGCATGCAGTGCAGCAATTAATAATGCGTGCTCTGTTTATTCTTTTTCGTTAAAGATTTATGTTACTCCATAACTTCTGCTTTACCCATTAAATCAATCTCAGCATTTAAGTTGAGACCGAATTTATGTTTCAAATTTTCTACAATTGATTTGTAAGAAGCACATTTTTTCTTTAGATAAATATTTTGTCTTAAATTTCTCAGTAAGTTTCTTTCTAGCTGCAGATTCCTTGCTATTAAATACAAACACAATATTACAACGTGCTTATATTTTATTCTTTTTATAATAACCTAGAATTATTGATTCCGTTGTTAAAGTAGAACTATATTTAAAAGCTTAGGCTTCGTATACATCACTCAAATTTAGCTTAGGAGACATCACTTGCGTAATTTATTTTTAAGTACAATTTTGCTCGGACTATCTAAAATTGAATTCGTACTGCTTATTGATTCAGACAACGGTTCTGATACTTCCTGTTCACCAGATTTTGTTGGCTGAAAAAAAGATACTAGTTATTTGGGAAGCCTGCAAAAATTCTAGTGTTACAGTATTAAAAAACCGTCATATACTAGAATGACTCGCGCGCCGAGGCTTCCGTCTCTCTTAAGTCCCGTAAATATACTGAACAATACAAAACATTCGTTCGTCGTCTAATAAAAAATAAAACAAAAATCCCAGCAATGTTATATAATTATATAATTACATTGTCGCATGGTACTGCTTATTTTTTGAAGTACACTCTTCCTGTTTTTGCGGTGTATTTGTCATTTTTTTTGAACTACACGGAAAATATGCGTGACTAATCTGACGTTTCTTCGCTGCAATTCTTCTGAACAAATTTGATCCATGATTATTTTGTTTCATGACACAGCCGAGGAAAACATTAAATAAAAATAATAATAAAAAATATTAATTTTAATGCATTAACATTTCCTACAGTGATTATATATAAATATTTTACTGTTCATAATTACTTAACATTATACGTCGATAGTGTCAAGTCTGCGCATAAAAATGTTTTACTCTTTGACATTCACGTATACGTTGCAGTTGATAAAATATAATTAAATTAAGCGTGTTTTAAAGATAATAATAAGTTTAAATTACTGGTGAAAATTCACTCCTTGACTTTTCCTTATATTTCTCGAGTAGTTTGAACAGTATCTCAATGCACACGAAGGCATATTAATTTAAAAATAATTCTTCACTCTAACTTCTCATGTTGCAACAACCGCTTGACACAGACTAAGTGAGTTTGAGAGCGCGCACTCTAACTCGTGTTACAAACAATCGAGTTGAGACGTCTTCTCTAGTACGTAGTACATTATATCTCAATGCTTTACAAATGGATCGCTTTTTAACTTTTATGCTCTCTAAAGCCTCGCGTACACCTAATCCGTCATCGGCCGAAGTTTGCTCGGGCGACGACGGCCGAACTCGGACGATCGAATCAAACACTTGTAAAAGAAAGAGAGCGCGTACACAAACACGACCGTTATCGTCCGATGACGCCCGAAATCGGCCGATCAACCGTCGAGTCCGAACTTGTTGGGATTTCTCGCCCGACTGCCGGCGTCTACAGTGCAAGTTGAATGTATTTAATTTAATAATTAGTTTAATTTAATAATTCTGTATTTATTCTGTTGTTTCGTGTTTTTATCTACCTAAACGACTATGGATATAGAAAAATTAATTAGTTGTATTTATAATAGACCAACCCTGTGGAATAAACATTCAAGAAACTACAATAATCGAGATGTTTCGAAACAGTTATGGGCTGAAGTTGCATCGGAAATGGATATAGCGGTTCCAGATATTTAAAAAAATGCGTCTTCACTCTGTTAAGCAATACAGTCAACTACAGAATACCGGCAACGTCCAATGTCGGCACACGTTGTCGGCCCACGTTCATTGTTGCAGTGTAAGCACATACATGTCCGAGTTACTCTTCCGGGCAGTTCTGTCTGCCATTGGCCGACAAAATCGGTTTTGGTGTACACGTACCATAAGAACGTGATTATTCCCCGGTGGAGCCGACCAATTTGTGGTGCAGCCACAATACGCTGGATTGTGGCTCCACTACATAAAATTTTACTTGCAATTAAATTGTCCCAGGCTCGTGACCGAATTAGCGACCTGATTTTCTCCATCGAGCTCTGGTACGAAGCCATCCGTCACGTGGAGGGCCACTTCGGTTCGGCCGTGGGTTCCTATTTCCACTTCCTGCGCTGGCTGTTCGCGCTCGACCTCGTGCTGGCGGTGCTGGTGATCTCCTTCGTCGTGGTACCGCAAGCGTTGCACGACCAGCACCGGAACCGCACCGGCTCTATGGGGTTCTTGGACTTTGTCAGCGGGAAGGTATGTTTTGAGGGTAGTACAGTCAGTATGATTACAGACTTTGTGACTATTTTATGTTATTTCTGAGAATTGTTCTCACTTACTTACTTCTCTGGGACCTCTGTCAGGTAGCTACCTGAAGAGCTGTCAACTACATTGGGTAGCCATGACACTTGAGGGGATAGACTTATCTTATTTATCACTAGTGTTCATAAATTGAAAAATAAATTTAGTAATAATTTCTTTCAGTGGTTCTATATTATATGGCGTAAATTAAACAAAACTAAAGCATCAAGTTTGTCATATATAAGCTATATGATAAACTTGATTCTATGGCATGTAGTGGGCTGTTTGCCCATTGATTCACATTGATGTGATGGTGAGGGTCTATTGCAGCACTTCATGGTCTGCAGTAACTTTGTTTGTAAACAACCTTAGAAAAAGGAAAGGTGCTTTGTTACTAAAGCCTACCTAACTACTGAGCCGTGGTAGCTCAGGGGCTAGGCGCTCGCTGTAAACACCCGAAGCGAGCAACCGGGGTTCGATCCCCGTTGGCACCAATTTAATTGTCAATTGCAATTTTAAGTACTGATCTACCACATGCTAGGCTAAAGGTAAACATTGTGAGCATGTCTGAGAAATAAGAAAAAAATATTTCGAAGACATGTGAAGTTCGCCAACACTCATTTGGACAGCGCGGCGTACTTTTCCTTGTCCTAAAACCCACTCAGAAATGAGAGAAGGCCTGTACCCAGCAGTGGAACGTAAATAGGCTGTAACTTTAACTTTAACTTTTAAATTTTGGTTACTTAAAACGTTGTCGGTCTTATTATTCTATCGAGTCTTCCTAATGTCTGCCAAGACTCACGTCTAACATTAGACCTTTGACATTGCTTCTCGTCAGCGGTCAAGAATAGAATCTATCCATTCCGTTACAGCCTACAAAAGTCCAATGCTAAACATAGCCGCCTCCCCTCCCATAGATTGCCTCATAGGGGGGATTTTGCCATAGTTGCCACGTTTTTCTGGCAGATTGGTAACCGCAGTTTTTTATTTTCCTAATTATAACATTAGGAAGACGCTGCTGCCCAACTACTGGTTTCTTTCCCTCTGTCGCATCTTACGACACCCACGGCACGATATAAAGTAGTGGATATTCTTACACCGCCACTACACGTCCTAGAATATATAATAATTTTTATTCAATATAGATCACAAGAATACTTGACATTAAAGGATTTACAACTGTGTTTTTTATTGAACAAGGTTGACAAACGAGCTCACACTGATGGTAAGTGGATGCTATAGCCAATAGACATACTACATTTATCATCGATTAAGAATCAAACTGCAGAGGCGTTGTCACCCCTGAGGACTAAGGTGGAAAGCCCCCATCTAGTCAAAACTGTATCTCCGGTTGACGACACACACCATACGGAACAGCAGTTTTGAGTTGCTATTTTACGTTGGTATTTCGTGAGCGCGTGGTCCTTCCGCGGTCAAGCCGACTCATTCGTGCTACAATCACAATATAACTGCAGCATGGCTCTACCACGTATAAACCGGAAACGGACGGAACATCTCCTTTTGCGACACCCACGAGATGAAAATTGGTATTGGATAATCTTAAACCACACGGCTTGTTAATACATATATCAATCCATATTATTTTTTATTTTATTTTATTTGTTATATTCGCCCACCAATTGCCTCATAGAGGTGCTAGGTTTGCCATGCATACGACGCCTCGCAGGCGGGGTAACAACCGTAGTTATATATTATTTTTGTTTGTTATCAGTATCAAAATGTTGCTGCCTGTCTCCTGCTTCAGTTTCCCTCTGTCGCCTCCAAATAGTGGATATTCTTTCATCGTGACTACCCGATTTAAATAGATACATATATATTGATGCAAAAAAATTGTCTTTCAGGGTGGCTTTGAAGATAGTCTGCTATTCTACGGGCACTACCACGACGGCGACATCGTCACCACTGGCCCGCTTACCTACAATATGCCCTTTGCATATTTCTTCACCATGCTCTGTCTCTACTTCTTGTTTTTCGCCCTTCTGTGCTATAGGTGAGTTTAACAAATGTACCAACTTGCCACCTTATCAACATTACAGCATTACAAGTTCACTGCCGAACATGTGGTAGAGCCACGTTGCAGCTATATTAAGAATACCAGCGTAAAATAGCAGCATAGTGCTGATATTTCGTATGGTAAGTGTAGGGAACCAGAGACCCTTTTCACTGGTAACGGACGTTCTATCTTTATCCTCAGGGTTGTGAGATTTATTTAATTAAATTTTATTGAACCTTACAAAGAGTATAGGATCAAAAGGCATACTTAATGCTGAAAGCATTCTCTGCCAGTCAACCTTAGGGATTCGTAGGATTTGGCAAAAAGGGCAGGAAGTCGATGGATGCTGGTTGTTCAGAGCCGTGTCTTGAGAAGGAGGTCTATGCTCAACAATGGACTTATGTGAGAGATCTGTAATGATGATGATGAATTAATAATTTCTGGTCCAGGACTGTGTTTTTGTGGCATTCCTTGTGATAGAACTATTTTCAGCAGTGGAGTTGTTTGAATTTCTGTAATGATGAATAATTAATATTCTGATAATATAGCCGAAACCAATAGGTGACAATCATTAATTATCATCACCACATAGTGACGAAATCATCACGTTTATAAGAACTGTGATGAGGAAGGCAAAAATAAATATAAAAATAATTTTTGTGTTGGTCAATGGCACAGGACGGCGTATTCGTACCGGCGAAACTTCATAGAAATCGCGGGCGGTTTGAGCAACGTGTTCGCGAGCAAAGTGAGTATTGCTTCAACCTTTACGTCTAATTACTAGTGATCGGAATAGGTAGTGCAATTTCGTGGCAACAGAGAAGACTGACAACAGAGAATGGCAGGCTACAAAGGAAACCGTTCGTCGGTGGATTGAACATTATCCTGAACTATTCTTTGAATCAATAAACCACATTATTTACTGTAGTAAATGTGAATGCAGCGTTGAGTGTAGAAAAATTACCATCAAAAGACACGTCATTGGAGCTCAACATAAAGGAATTCTTCCAAAGCCCCCCGAGAAGATTTTTATTTTAATTTCATTGAGTTTCTTATTCTCTCTAACTATTTATATTTCTCTACTAGAAAACTTAACTAAATTTATTAAAAAAAAATTGTTGCTGCTTTATTCAAAAAGTATTTAGAGGTATTTTTCCAAATACTTTACAATATTGCAAAGTATTACTTGTATAAAGCTGCAAAATTATTTTTATAATAGATAATTTAAAAATAATAAAGAATTTCAAAGTATAGCAATGAAGTAAATATTTATTTCTGTAAGAAGAAAAACATTTAATTATAACAAATCATAAATTCCCGCTTCCCACAAGGCTTATCCATATTAATACAACGTTACAGGTCATTCACCCTAAATTGCACTACCTATTCCGGTCACTGCTAATTACACAAGTGGTAAAATAAAATAATTGTACAACCGACTTCAAGTGTTATATTTTACCTTGATCAAATTTATATGGGACCACATGTGAAGCACCAGCTTTCAAATAAAAAAAGAGTCATCGAAATCGGTTTACGCCGAAAAAAAAAATTAAACACAGTCAAATTAGGTAAGGTACGTTGGGGTAATACCGGACGGATTTTCGAATAGTTGGAAGAGTCTGCCAAAAACTTTAATTTCTCGACATTCGTATACGTCAGATTTATGGAACATGGAGCAAACCGTTAATCGTTAAACGTAGTTTAGCTCTGAGAATCTTTTGCTTGTGTAAACTCAACGGTTTCTGCTTTAAAGGTGTGCGAAAACTAGACATACTTTTTTATATGCATAATGAAAAATTGGCCATTAAGGGGTAAGACCGGACTTAAATTTAAAACCACTTCTACTGCTTAGAGAAAAAAGTTTTTAAAAGAGATTTTTCCTAACTTTAACGCTCAAAAACATATTTCAATATGATCTATAAATTACTAGAAACATAAATGTTCCAAACGATTTTCTCTTTTTTTGTTTCTTGCCATCCGATCTTATCCCTGATATAAAGAAATTGTAATTTTATGTTTCTCAAACTTTGTTATGACATAAGATGGAATTACTCAATATAAGAGAAAGATCGGATGCATTTGATTTTATATGGGAAAAAAAAAATAACAGTAAGGACTGGCGAAATGCCCTGGGATAATGCAGGAGTTAAGGAAGATATAAATATGTTAACAAAGCGGCGTTTATTATTATAAATTATTTTTTAAATAATTATTATAAATTACATTTTGATTTGTAATAGAGGATAGATATAGATGTCTATGGGCCGCAGCAATCACTGGACTGTGTGCTCCTTTGTCACCCTTATCCTATAAAAAAATGTATTTTAATGTGTACTTAAAAGTAATAAAACAATACGATGGTTGGTGGTAATATACAGACTTGCTAACGAGACTGAGTCCCATAGTCACTTGAGTAATCAACGAAAAAATATACACGACCAATGAAAGTTTAACAACCACTGCCATATTTGTAACAGGCAAAGATCGGATAATTTTCATCCGATCTTCACTCACGAGGGGAAACATCGGATCTCGGCCTACAGCGATCTTACCCCTGCATGGACCAGCTTTATTTAGCTATAACTTCATAAAAATTAGTATCCACACAAAATAATAACAAAAGAAGCCATATTCTCGCTAAAAATCGTAAATAAAAGTGATAGGGAAAGATCGGATGGACAAAAATAATACAAAAATTACATTGTTTTATAAAATGCAACGCAGCACAGGTCCCATTTGCCGGAGTGACTGGCGCGAACTGAGGGTCGGGGCAGGATGAAATGGCGTCGTGTAGCATATTGTTAGCTTTTCAAAATATAGCATAATTCGCCGGGAATTTGAATCCTACGGTCTTGCCCCATCACCGATCTTACCCCAACGTACCTTACCTCCTCCTTTTTGAAGTTTTTATAAAACGTAAGTGACCAACGAACTTACAGGAAGTCCACTTGTAGGTAGGTGGCTACTGCTCCACAACAACTGCAACTAAAAACAAGGCTGCAGATGCGATACGTCTGAGGACTTAGATGGAATGCCTCACAAATTGTAACTATGCTGTTGTCTTAACTTGGGGTGCGCAAAGTGTATCATTTTTACGATTGGAACATTTTGCATCTCGATCACTGACATGTTCCGAAACACTGATATGTTTCATTTGGATTATCAACTCAAAAGATATAAAATACGAATTGAAATTTGTTACGAATCCATTTAGTTGCGTCGCGGGCGTTTATTACTTACTGAGTCAGTGAAATGTTTGTGGCAACAGTGCTGAATGATATAAGTGCGTAGGTTATTTATTGTATACCGTAATAAAATTATATATAAAATCGAGCTTCCTTCATACTTTATCCAGGCTTAGGACTGGCGGCTAGTCCTTAATTTATGGCTATATATAATATATTAAAACGACTGTATAGTATTTGATATGTAAGCGCCTTAGTGGTCATTTTTACGTGCACGAATAACGACACCAAAAATCCGTACGAGTTGAGTGATACACTTCTCATTTGTTATCTCTTTCTGACTTGTATAGATTGTAAATATTTCGCTCGCTCACTCGCCACTCGCGAGTCAATAATTAAGTTACTCAGTGTCTCAGTCAGTGTCTCTCGCTTGCGACTCAGTCGCCTCGCGAGCGACGCGTCGCGCGAAATGAGCACAGAGCAAAGTAATGTTTCAGATCCAAATGATGCATTTGAAACGTTGTTACTGAACCAATCTTTTGAATCACTTCAGTGATTTGGATCGGTGAACCGGTGAACCGGTTCCGTAAAGAGTTACACACGCCTAGTCTTAACTCTCCAGATCGGAATACAGTAGAGCACGTTTTGCTATCTGGCGGCAGAAATAGATAACTAGGTGGTATAACTCGTGCGGTTAAAGAATGGGATTGGAAATGACGTCCGCTCTATTAACATCTCGCTCGCACACTGTCGCTATTTATATTCACACCCGCCGTTAAAGACTGCAAAAAATAAGTTGCGATATGTATTTTTCGGTACGTTCTATAACTTCAATCCAACTTGTCATTGGACTAATGACATCAAATTCCCATACACTACAAAAAAAATTGTCCGTTTTTACTTATTTGTGAGCTACGATGCGTTCTGAGAGTTTTCTTCATAATTATTGCTAATTTTGTTTGTTAATATTTTTGTATAAAATATTTATACGCCATTGAGGCATGAGTATTTTTAAAATTTTCGTTTGTCTGCCTTTCAGAGCTAATCTTCGGAATGGCTGAACCGATTGTAATAAAACGAACAAATAGAGAGTAATACCAGGAGTGATCTAGACTACTATTCTATAATTTTATCCGAAAAGTTTAGAGATTTTATTAAAATAGAAATATGGATAAAACGAAATAAATGGTCTTTAATGAATCTTCTAAATAACCAGACACCCAAGAGAAGCTAGAGCGAGTCGTTAGTTATAAAGGTTATTTTATTTGGGTGTACAATTCTTTTCAAATATTTTCCGTTAATAGAAAATTTCCAATTAACCGAATAATATAATGTTGTAACGATGTACCGTTATTACCGAGTTTCGGGCTCGATAAGCCGCCATTTCTAATCCCATTCATTATCCGTACGGACTATACCTACTACCCGACTCCTAGACAGAACAAAAATACTACCATAGTTTAGTAAAAGTACAAAGTATTCATACTAGACGCTTATATATTTTTATGAGGAGTGGGTGCATGTGTTAGCGTGTACAGTTTTAGCACTAAAGTACCATAAACACATTATACAACGTGTAACAAAAACCTTGTGGGTCACTTCAAGTGCGTTATCAGAGTCAGTAATAAAAAGTAAAGAAATAACTTTTTCAAAAAACTTGAACATTAAAAAATTAATTTTAATTAAAAAAAAATAATTTGCAAATTGTATGTGGTTTTATTACTTCTAACAGCATCGGTGAAGGAGCTGTCTTTCATAATTTTCTTATTCTCCGGATCCGGATAATGCAGAGGTAATAAAATAACATACAATTCGCAAATTAGTTTTTTTTTAATTACTTAAATTCTTTTTTAATGTTCAAGTTATTTTGAAAAAAAGTTATTTCTTTACGTTTGAATACTGACTCATAACGCACTTAACGAGAACCACACAGGGCTTTTGTTACATATTGTATATCTTCCAAAGATTTGGTGGTCGAAAATCGGCCAGTTTGGCACAATCAGCGAAAGGCGAAGAGACGACCACTGTACAGTTTCAGTCCTAGACTCAAAAGGTGTCTTATCACCTACTAAACAGTTTGTTTCAATAAAGAACTTCCGCCCAAAATATGTTAACTAAAAGAAGACTGTGGCGTCGCGGCTAAGGGACTTTTTTGGGATAAAGATTCGGGGCATATGCTCCTGTGGTACCACTTTAATTAAGAAAAGAAAAAAATCCACCAATGCACTGCTTGTTGATTGATGATGTTTGTTTTTTTTTACATTGTTTTTGAATATTTTTCCCATTTAACTTTTGATTGTAGCACAAATTGGTTGGATCGACCACGCTCACACAGAATACCAGTGTAAAATAGGGCTGAATTTCGTATGGTGAGTGTAGAGATCCGAAGACCCTTGTTACTGGTAACGCGGCGTTCCTGTTTAGATGTCAGTGGTTGCAGCACATCTATATTTTGAATTATTCAAATTATTATGAGCACATAGTCCGCCTAGTGATCTTTTTTTTGGTCTTTCAACGTTTCCCCCACACAAGGATTCTTCTGTATCGTGAAGGCGATTTACATACATATTTTTCACGTATTTTTCAAAGACGAACATCCAGACCCGGAATCATTATTTTTGTAGGCCATACGAATACTTGTTCCGTGCGGGAGTCGAACCCGCGGCCCTCAACGCAGCAACTCATTGCTAAGTGACTGCGCCACGGAACTGTCATAATAACAATAATGATACGTTAATGTTGTTTACCATAGACACCTACATCTTTTCTCAATAAATAATCAAAATGCCGATGTCACCCTGTCACTAAAATAAATATTTATATATAGGTGTTTTGTGGCTGGGACTTTGGTATCACGTCTCAGCAAGCCGCCGCTCTTAACGCTTCCAGCATCTACAACGAGTTTAAGGTATGCAGTTATTTGCTTAAATAGTTTTCATTCAATTATTAAGTGGCGAAGCTTGCGAAGTCACTTATTAAGTGGCGAAGCTTGCGAAGTCACTTATTGATTTCACGATGTCTGTCCGTCTGTCCGTCTGTCCCACGATTATCTCGAGAACGGTTTCGAATTTTCAAATTCTGTTTCCAGCAATCGATTACTGATCACCCAGGCATCTGAACCTCCTATTTTGAAACTGATTGCTCAACGGCAACCGTTAGAAACCGCTACAAAGCTGATTGCTTCGCCACTTTGCTATGCTGTTAGCTTGCTAAGTTTTTATCTGTATAATTATTAATGGGTACAGCGTTCAAGTCGATATTCACTATGACCCACCCTGAATATTTTCTAAGTCTACCCATACAAATGATAAATTTAAAAATTGTGTGCAAACGACTTCAATATGAATATAATTTATTGTTGAATTTTTAAAAACCCCTCGACCGATTTCAATAAAATTGAAATGGGACCACCTGGGAAGTATACCCTTTGAAACAAAAGAATTTTCCAAATCGGTTCAGGCGTCTTCGGGTAATCGGTAAACATACATAAAAAAAAGATTCCGACGAGATAGAGAGAGAGATATTGAGAACCTCCTTCTTTATTGAAGTCGTTTGTAAAGTATAACTTTAAAGAGTAAAGTTAAATAGATTTAAGTTTTTTTTTACTGTGTGGTTGTATTCTTACTACTTAATAGATTTTTTCATGTAAGTTGAGGATCAATTTATTGTATTTTGGTTAATGTATTTTAATAGTTACATGCATGCGGAGTTTATTTTTAAGTAATTGTAGCAGTGTTGTTAATACTTTAAGTAATTGTGTAATATGATGTGTTAGTGGTAGCAATTTTTGGTAAACCTAGTAATATCTCTGCAGACAATGCAGGGTTGTATAACTATATACCGTATAAAGGCATACCGTAATCTCGGATTGATAATGCGTCTTGCAAATAATTTCAATGGTGCACTGGTAAGAAGCCGCTTAGAGTGTAACGCTGTCATTAGGGCTTCTCACGAAGCCAAATATAAATGTATGTTAGAGCGAATTTAAAATAAATTTATCAGATTCATGTACTTGAAACAATTTGAAGTTTACCCGGGCTATCCCTTGTTGTATCCCACTTATTTTTGCTCGGTATGGTAGGGTATTACAAGCTAGTAGTTAGAAGGGAAGTCGCTCTCGCTATGTACGTATTGAAGGTGATGAGGGGTAGGATACAGTACGCGAGAGTGTTGGAGATGGTGCGGCTGAATGAGTCGGACGGAGCGCGGGGCGTCGGCGGCGTTACTGGCGGCGCCGCACGCGTGTGATCAACACCATGTCGGAGCGAACTCATTTATTTTCATGTTCGCTGAGTGAGCTCAGTAAAATAGCATATTATACTGTATCGTTGGCTACACTGTCGAATTAGGGTGGTCACCCTGTAATGATTGTGTATATTGTATGTGTGTAAAAAAATAAAAAAAAACTGTTGCGTACCGTATCCAAAAAAAATCTCATCCTTCCAAACTTCCGATTTGTGAATTTTGTTTGGAGTTTCTCTGTGAGGATTCTCTACGAGGATATCTGCACCAAAACCAGAGTAACTGACGTAGCCCAACCTATCAGTAAGGTAGAATTTCGATTACTGATACCAATCTCGACGGTGACTAGCCATCTGTGCTAAACAGGATTATAGTGCACGAATGTATGCACAAACTCTCTACTCTAGTCCAATGGGACGGTAATTTGACTCGAACGAAGAATGTTCTGGTGCAGGACCAACGGCTTTACGTGTTTTCTGAGGCACGAGGAAATACCGCCAATTTCTTGACTCCGGTCTGCTACAGAGTATTTCTTCATAGAAAAACCCAATAACTGATTTTGGGTCGACCCGGCTATTCGAACCCGAGATCTCATAGTCAAAGTGTCTTTATGTCACAACATGCACTCACCATCGGAACTGTATGCTCGTTTTTCACACTTAATTGTATGAATAATATATTTCTTATTTCACACAGGAACTTCTTAGCGAACAGAACAAGAATCAAGTGACGAAATCATTCTGGACGAAGTTCTGGCAGTGTTTAGTGAATATAGTCGTTACTGCCTTCGTATTAGGGCTCATAATCAGCCTAGAGTACGGTCTGTGGCAACTGCTCAGCTCGGAAACGGATCTCTCGCGTTGGGAGATATACGTGTCATCGATAGTGACTTTCGTGTTGGCAGTTTGTCCGATTTTGTTCCACTTGATCGTTAGGTGAGTTAATTTACATATAGACTTGATAAATCTGAACCACAACCCACTAAAACGACTTTTTTATTATGTAAAAATAGCAATTACTCGATTAAAAAAAAATTAATAAATTCAACAATCATTTATCTTTCTAACAATGTGCTTTTTATATCATTTCTATGTTCAATATGATTGTTAGATACGATTTTGTGCGACAAAATGTTGGGATCTTGATTTTCAGGCGCTAGTAGAACATACATACGCTCTTTGCGCTCAAGGCATGCAAAATGTTAAATAACAAAGAGGTAAAACGGACAATGGCAAGCGGCTCACTTTAAAGTAAAGCTTGAGTCTACCTTAGGGCCTCGGGTCCCAGTATCATGTAGTAGCTGAAGGTACTAGTGGCTGAAGTGACTAGTAGCAGAACCAAGTAGTAGCTGAACATAGAACATATTGAATAGTAGTACAACATAGTAGCTGATAATAGCAGCTAGATAAAAGTGATAATATAAGCAGATAGTACTAGTAGAAGTAAGCTATCACCGAACAAATTGAAGAAATAATCAACTGAAGAAATAATCTGAAGAATATAGTGACCAATCGATATAGAACAACCATATTCAACAACCGTGGTCGATAACCAATAGTCAGAAGATTTCCGCCGAACAGTTAAGCAGCCATGGCATTTATATTTTACAGTTCGTACATTTTGATTGGACGTTAGTCCACAGTACCCCAGCTGCACCCAAAAAGACGGCGGTAGAAGTATCCACCAGAACCTATAGGTATAGGACGTGAGCGACTCGCGGAGTATTTTCGACAACATTTACTCCCGAGTATCGCCCGTCCGGCACCGATAGCTTTCTGCATTACTTCATATAAACGTTAAATGTGCCTAATCTCCGTGCGCTCAATACACTTAAAAATGGGTACAAAGTTTTCCCTTAATGTATTAATATATTTTTAGAAACTCTCCCACTTCTGATGTAAGAAACTATTCCATTTCTGATGTTAGAAATTATCGTCAAAAGTATTTAAATAAAAGAACACTACTCGATAACAAACCCTGCTTACTATCAGGATCCAATTACATGATAACACCAAAGTATGCAAAGCGACAGCATTACTACCCAATGTAACACAGGGCAGCCGCCTCTCAGCAACACGACCTTCCTTGCCTACACTAGTAGAATACCCCAAGAGGCATAGTAACTACAGTGAGACCCTTAGAATTACCGACTAATGCCTCTTAGTCGCCTGTGCGATACTTTATACTGCTAAAACAAATGGGAGATTACCATTTTACCTTCATTTCTTCGAATTTCCTTTAATTTTTTACCCTCATTCCCAACAATATATTAATTAATATATATGATAGTGATTCTAATATCCGCAGGTTAGAGTTCTACAAGCCAAGGACTGGATTTTATGTGACTTTAGCGAGGACTGGGCTGCTTGATATTGGAACCCTCACTCTCCTGTTGGTGTACTGGGCGAGGTCCGGCTCTGAAGTACGTAAAGCTTATTATATTCGTAAGAGCGCTCAATTTTGGCATTTTTTAAGCTTAATTACCATGACGACTACGTGGTTCAGTGATTAGAGAGTTTCCAAGTTCGAATTCAATAAGTTAAATGCAACGCCAGAGATGGGAGGCCATTGTTTTATAATGTGGGGTCTGTGGAGATCCCGGATAGGTTCTTCCGGACTCTTACCAGCTAAAACCCCATGGTGGTCATCATCATCGAAGAAGAGAGCTCTGAGAGAAGGAGTGTTATACTATACTTATTTAGCATGTAATAGTACTATCTACCCTCAGCAGTATCGTAGTCGATCGGTCGATGACCAGATGCCCAGATGGGAGGCCAATTTTAACAAGTTCAAGTCCGATGACAAATAAATTGTTTTGTACAAATTTTAGGCGTGGTTTTAATACGAACTCGAAACCTACGACTCACTAGTTGGGTATTCCGATCATTTGATTGCCTTGTTGGTCTAGTGATCGTATAAGTGACTGCTAATTATCAGTTATTGAGTTTTTTCTGTCAATATATTCTCAGTGGTAGCGCGGAGTTAGAAGGTTAACGGTGTTCCATCGCCGTGCCTCGGAAAGCACTTAAATGCATTGGTCCTGTGCCTGATCTCTCTCCGACGGTGAGGGACTAGAGAATGCATCTGTGCTAGCATACACTCGGGTACTATAATCCTGTCCTGTGCAGATGGCAGTCTCCTTTGAGACGGGCCGCCGTGACCGAAATTCGGACTGGAGGACTTATAATTCTAATCATCAAGTCATGTGGTCGTCATCATCATCATAATTCGCAATATATAATGACGGATATTTGCAGTGTTGGGAGACCTCGATGGGACAGGAGGCCTACCGCCTCGTGATACTCGACGCTTTGCTTTCTTTGTTTCTGATCCCACTTGTTGAGTTCGCTAGAAGTTTCATTTTTAAGTAAGTTTTTTAATTTTTTTTGTTTTATTATTTTTCTGTCTCAACACTTCTCTTTTTTCTACTTTTACAATAATCAAATTCAGCGCTAGCATTCCTGCATCGTCTTATTTCAAAAGTAGTTTTATAATTAGTCTCAATTACAAACTAGAATCTTTTTGAATAAAGAAGTTCTGTGGAAAATGTGTGGATTTAAATGTCTTAATTTGCAATTGACAGCAAATGTCAAATTTCTTAGTCTGTGGTGCTGCGGCTAAGAGACTTCTTTCGCGACAAAGACTTCTTAAAGTGTCTTCTACACACAAGCAGCTTGTGGTGGTGGCTAACCGCGAGTCACGGCTTTAGCCGCTGCGACAACACCTCCGCAGTCGCATTGGCGGCCATAAGCGCCATTCGCTGACTGACGTCCGTCAACATGCCTAACAGTTACGAAGTCTTATTACTCCTATTATATTTAGCAATATTATCACATATTTTGTTTTTAATCCTAATGTTTATGTAATTACGGTGTGAAGTATCATAAAGTACTGGATAATTTTGCACTGTTTCTATTAAAATTTCTGTATTTAGAATATTTTTTCGCGCGGTACGCCTGGCTTGTAAAAATATGCAATTGGCCACCAACAGGGCGCGCGCTAGGGGGCGGAGGGGTCGGAGGGGGCGGGGCGTGCGGCTGCGAGCGGCTGCCGCACGGATTTACAGACTCACTTACATTGCTAGTAAATACAACACCGCAAGCCCCTTCTGTGTGGGAGACGCTTTAAACCCGTGACTATCAACGATTCACCTTTTGTAATAAGACCGCTCATGTTTCACCCAACAAGAAGATCAAAGATCCTAATAATGATAATCGGGTATAAAATGTCTTGCGAATTAAAAAAGGAAGAGTGAGATAGAAGATTGAAAGAAAGCGAAAATTAATGTTAAGATGTCCCTGCTATCAAATCTGGATAAGATCACAACTACTTTCAGTTATTGATTCTACGAGTAGCTATTTTTTATTGCTACGTTGCTACTAGTAGCAGTGATAATTTTGTTGCAGAATGAACCCTAGTGATTCGCCGCCAGAGTTCAATATCGCGTACAACTCATTGACACTGATCTACAACCAGGCAGTGTTGTGGTACGGCATGTTATTTTCGCCCTTATTGACGGTGGTAGTAACGTTCAAGTTCTTCCTATTGTTTTATGTGAAGAGAGAATGTGCTCTGCGGGCCTGTCAGCCTGCCCGGAAGGTAATCTAATTTGAATTTTATTGCATTTGTGTTACGGTTTCAAGCTTAACGTCACTGACCTCTATATATGGACTGGTTATAACCATGACATAATGAGGCGATTTAATTTTCGCCATTTTGGCGCTGACAGCAGAAGTGAACGTCCACGGAACTAATAATAGAGATAAGACAGTGTGAAAAAATATATCGATAAGAATTCTATACCTAGGCTTACCCGTAACATCCATTCTATTTATGTATCATATTAATATAATGCCATACAATAAATAAGTGTATCAATTTATACCTAGGCCTTAGACGCAAGCTTTATACTTCATATAAAACAAGAATCGATGTTGATCTATTATAACGTTTTATTCGTAACTACAGAGCGAATTTTGTTCCGGGTTTCAAATGAGAAAATGCCTACGCATACTTGTATTACGGGAGCAAGAACGAATTATGTCGGACTTGCACCTACTAAAACCCCATGATGTTCCACCTTCACTACATATTGACAGTGCCACGGAAACGCTTTCAAGTACATCCGCGGCCCCACCAGCGAGGACCCCTTCTTAGGTGAGCACTTCCCTCCCCGGCTTCGCGAACCCGATATGTGGAGGCCATGGAGCCAAGAAAAAACGAGCACTCGGAAGCAACAAGTGGTACAGTCCCGTCAAAGTCGCAGAGGATAGTCGAGTGGCATTATACCAACAATCCTCTTCCCTTGCGACACCACCTCGGCTGCAGCGATATAGAGAGAGGACTTTCCTCTAGCCGCAGCTCACTAACACAGATCCAAGGGCTCGACAAGCCCACGCAGAGTAGCCACCTTGGGCCAGCCCTTCACTTCGGGCCAGCTATCTGAGTCGCCCTACGTTTACCATGGGTTAGCAAGCCACGGCTACTAACCCCCTACCCCCTTCCCGCCACGACAAGGCGGGAATCCGTTCAGGGAGAAGTTATTTCTCACCTAGACTCACTAAGGACATTAATAACTTTGCAGTTTCAATATAAATTTATTCCCTTGATACAATAAATTAGTCATAATAATTATAGAGATTTAACAAATTTACGTCTTGTAAACACAAAGTCATCATCAGGCGACCTTTCTTCACTTGGCTATGGTCCTTGGGCCTGGGGGAAAATAAGGAAAGAAGAAATAAAAAACATTCGAAATAATAATCTAATACTTTTATACTTACTGGTACTACCAGAAAATATTGTGGGTATACTGCACTTTTTCAAAGTGGTACGTTTCTCATGTCTAATAAAACAGTCGTCTGAGAAGTGTTTACAACAAAGATAATAATTTTGTTTCGGACGCCAATTCCCAATTTTTGTGCTTTTTACCCATAATTTTAGTCTAGGTTCTAGTTCTAGGTAGGTTGGGTTTGAACAGATAAAGTATTATAGACAAGGAACTCAACAACCCTATTGAATATTATTGTTTATCAAAACTCAGTAATATAAAGACAAACATTACGATATTAAGATTAGAAGCAAATTTTTAAGTACCTGTATTATCAAATAGTTTTAATTTGCCTAATTATTAGCTATAAATTAATTTACTTGTGGAATGTTATCCCACTTTCCTTTTGGTAACGAGTTTTACATATTACGCACAGTCTCATTATTACTGAAAATAATTCTTATTATGTAACTAAAATCAAACATAATCAAACTACATAAAATACTTTAATTTTTTTTTTTAAATTCAAAAGACAGAGATATGATTTAAATAATGCAACAGACTTTGACATATTATGTCAATTTTAGTTCCCGGTACGGACAATGAGGGCGCTTCAAATCGGCATAAGAATTTTGTATGGCATAGCCAGTCCAGCGTACTTGTATATATGGAGGTCAGTGCTTAACGTACATATTATACTAAGGACATACCTAGAAGATATGTTCTTTCACATATTGCAGTATAACTATTAGGTATGTGACTGTAAATGACTTTTTTTTAATATAAGGATAACAAACGAGCACACAGTTCACCTGATGGTAAGTGGTTGCTGTTGCCCATAGACATCTACGTCTATCCTCGATTGCGAATCAGATGCGTTGTCACCTGTTAGGACTAAGATGGAATACCTTGTTTCCAGTAAAAATGGTCTCCGGTTATCAACACTCATTATATGAAACACAGCAGCGTTGAGCTGCTATTTTACGCTGGTATTCTGTGAGAGCGTGGTCCTTCCCCGGTCGAGCCGATCCATTCGTGCTAAAACTATACTACTAATATAGCTGCAGCATGGATCTATCAAGTACAATACTTTCAAGCCCGATTATTAACAAATCTTCGTTTTGATATGGGGAAACTAATTTATTTGCTAAAAGAGTAGTAGTGATAGTGGTGTAAGAATATCCACTACCCTATATCGTGGCGACTATGGCAAATATCCCTCTTATGAGGCGATTTATAGGGGAGGCTTATATTCAGTAGTGGCTTTTGATATGCTGTAATGATGATGATGTGTGACACGGCTGTCTTATTCTCTGGTAATGGCCTTAAAATTTCGTAGTACTGGGGCAAACCGTATTCCGACCCAATAAAATTGTTAACTGCCATTTTAAGTACTGATTTACCAAGTGCTCTGCGGTGAAGGAAAATCACGTGATGAACCTTGCATGTCTAAGAAATTAACATTTTGACGATGCGTTAAGTTTAGCATTATACATTAAGACAGCGTGGTGGCTATTCCTTGTCATTGTTTGATCCTGGTTATCTTAATGTCCAACCGATGTGTGATATATGGAAGCGATATGGTGAAAGTGGATAGTATATTATGGGAATAGGGAAGAAATAACTACTTATAAGGTTTAATATGAGAAATCAGTGGGGTTCAGAGAGCCGGGGACGCATACCTATATACGATCTAGGCTACAATAAAAGCAGTTGAGATGTGTAAACCTGATGGTGACATCACAAAGACGAGGAATTTATCCAATTTTCGTTACTGTCATGCAGGTATGGCGAGCTGCACAGACACAGACGGTGCTGTACATGCTAGTCACCTTGTCTTTGTTCACGACACTCTTCACCATCGGAAGCTTGTTCGTACGGTGAGTATGTATTCACTTGAGTTTTAGTAAGTGCTGCATTTCGTCGTGTAGTGGCGCAATAGAAGTAGTGAATTCTATTTCCCATATCATCTTATGGGTATCGTAAGAGGCGATAGAGGGAAACGAACCAGGAGATTCCTTCCTACTGAAAATAACAAAGGACTGCGATCGCCAACTCGCCTGAAACAAAGCAAGCTACGTATTATGCGTTGTCACGCTTGAGGAATAACACCGTATACCTTATATCTTACCCTTTAAGCCATGAATATACCAAATGCGCATTTCTTAAACAATATATCACTATGGGCAGCCGGCTTAGTGAGGTCAGCTCTGCCCTCGCACTGACATGGCTGCTTCACTTTATCAATCCCCAATAGTCTTTAAAATTTGAACACAATTTATTAGAAATAAGAATGAATTTTCTGTGAATATTCGTATCGTATTGCAAGCAACTCGTTTTATCAATGTGCATTAATTATTTGACGACTGTAAAGTAAAGATGTCAAGCGTTAGGTTGCGGCGCTGTGAGTTGCGGGTTCGGGACTCCCCACGGAGCAAGTTTCTATATAGATATCAATTTTTATAATTGCTGTGTATGTGTTGTTGTTTATCCGTATGCATTTTATGTATTGTTACGACAGCCAGTTGTGAATTGCATCATGTTGCATAAGAATGTTCCATATGAAATAGGTCCAAAGCTACTGTCAATCAATAAAATGTGCAGGCATAATAATAGATAACGCCTTTTATAAAAGTGTGTGCAGGCGATCGGGGTATTAATAATTTCGGAAACGCGAAAGTAAACTCTACTACGATCAATCGACCTACGACATCTGCGATTTTAGGGACCTCAACGAAGAAGCTGAAGCCCGTATTCACGAACGACACATAGATAAGTATGGTAGCAACACTATGCTAAGTAAGGTATTTCTCACTGCGTTCTTCATGCCAAACCGTTCATTTCATGAACTCTTTGTTGTGGACACGTAGCATTAAATGGGGCGCCGTGATTGGTTAACGTTGTGACGCGACTTCACTCGAGTTGAATGACAGATAAAATAATAACACACGTTGTTTTCTTTCGGGTAAAAGACGTTACTGGTACTGTTATTATAGGGTACCTATGCATAAATATTATTAAAATAATGTGGATTTGAAATTGTTTATAGGTAGATTAACTGAATTGTTATTACAAACCAGGAAATTTCCATATGAATAAAATCTTAAGACCACTAGTAACTTTCAAAAGATCTGCGTTTATTAAGGCAGAAGTATATTTAATACAAAGAGATCTATACTTAATATAATAAAGCGGAAGAGTTTTTTTGTTTGTTTAAACGCGCTAATCTCTGGAACTACCAGTCCGATTTGAAAAATTCTCTTTGTATATTATAGCCAAATTCATGTATAATAGTATAGGCTATCTAGCATTAAGCTATATTACTCAGCTAGCCTTAAATATGGATATTTGTTAAGCAAGTCAGAAGAGAAAGCACTCCCGAAATGATTTATCCGCGTACGCTGGTGTTATCGTTAGGGATACGTAAATACAATGTTCCAGAAAAATATAGACCTTTACTCCGTCTAAAAAAAAGTCCGCGATACCATGTCTATTTCTTATACATAAGCTATAATTTGGTATTTTGTGACAAAAAAATATTGAAAATTTAAAAGTGATTTATGAGCGGTATTATTAGGCATGGCCTACTTATCCTTACGAACGAAAGTTACGTCATCATCAAGACAATTTTATGAAGATAAACTTTGTTCTTTATACCATGTTATTTGGACGCATAGTTTAAAAGATAATGTAAAAATAAAATAATTCAATACTTGGCTGGGCGCGCGAACGACGCTTAAACCCTAGCCGTTATAAAATGCTTGAACTAGGTCATGTCGCGCACCTCGGACACGTGATGACGCGGGTGAAACCGCGGGGCACAGCTAGTTTAAATATATAGGTAATTTAATACGATATCTAAAATTCATTGGCACTGTAATAATCAAAAGGATTTTGAAAGTCACGCATCACTTTTCTTGTGCTAATCGTGCTTTGCACGTTTATTTTCTCCAGGATATAATTATCAAAATCATCTTCGCTGCTGTAATCCATTGCAATTATTCAAACAAAACAAATCAGTGTATCACAAATCAACAAACAACCTATATACCCCATACCAGTTTGACATTTGCGTTGATTTGTCGCACTATGCGTAGCGTAAAGTAGCTAGCGAGTTACTTTATCTGTGCGTTCATTATAATGAGCGCATAGTGTCGTCTAACACTCAAGTGACGTTTATGAAACAAAATTTCGTCCGCTGTGCGTTAAAGCCTATTGTGCGTACGCATAGTATCGTTCTTGAATACGGGTGTGAGTGATCACTGGACGACGTAATTGTATACTTGCTGTGTGTGTGGAAGATTACATACATACATTTGTCACCATAATCGGCACTTTTACTCACCTCGCACTTAACAGTATATAAAGCCTTCATTATAGAGGAAGACCGTTTTAAAACAAGCTTAAAAGTTGAAACGGTAATTTAAAAAAAAAACGAGAAAATGTTTATACCCTACGTCGTTAATACGAATCTGAAGTTATCCTGTATGTTAAATCTATCACACCGCTTAGGCTACAGAGCGTGCCGAAGAATATTATATTTATATATAAAATATATAAATATAATATATACATTTCCCTCCTCTAGGGGCATTAGGGTATAAAGAAGAAAAAGTAATTCTCGCACGTTTTCGCAGAGGTTCGTCGCAACACTGCGGACCGTTCCGCGGGTACGAGGCGGTGTACAGCGTGGTGAGCGAGGGCGTGCTGCAGCTGGCCCGCAGGAGAACGCTCGCACAAGTGCTGGCCTTCCTCACGCGCCCCGGCGTCATCGCCTTCCTGCTGCTGTCGCTCTGGTGAGTGTGCGCCACATTGTGAGCGAGATGTGCTGGCCTTCCTCACGCGCCCCGGCGTCATCGCCTTCCTGCTGCTGTCGCTCTGGTGAGTGTGCGCCACATTGTGAGCGAGATGTGCTGGCCTTCCTCACGCGCCCCGGCGTCATCGCCTTCCTGCTGCTGTCGCTCTGGTGAGTGTGCGCCACATTGTGAGCGAGATGTGCTGGCCTTCCTCACGCGCCCCGGCGTCATCGCCTTCCTGCTGCTGTCGCTCTGGTGAGTGTGCGCCACATTGTGAGCGAGATGTGCTGGCCTTCCTCACGCGCCCCGGCGTCATCGCCTTCCTGCTGCTGTCGCTCTGGTGAGTGTGCGCCACATTGTGAGCGAGATGTGCTGCACTTCCTCGTTATATTGAACTCTTACTGGCTAAAACTTTACAAGGTCATTTCATCGCATTTCGCTGATGATGAGGACGATGATGCCAAAATAGTAGATTTTTGACCTCTGAAACTTCGAAGTTACATACCGTGTAGAAGATAATATAGCGTTCGTCAAAAGCATCGTGTATGAATACTGTATACTTTTACTAGAGGATTTTTATTACTCCTGTTATGACTAGGAGTCTGGTAGTAGATACTACCTTCATACCTATTTGTGCCGCCAAATATCGGTATCTATACGGCTGTGTTCGGGTCTGAAGCATATAGAGAGCTATTACTTTACAGGTTTTGAGGTATTCTATCTAAGACCTCAGAGGTGACAACACATCTGAGGGTGACAAACGAGCACACAGTCCACTAGATGGTAAGTGGATGCTGTGGCCCATAGACATCTTCATTTATCCTCAATTACGAATCAAAATGCAGATGCGTTGTCATCACTGAGGAATAGGATAGAATGCCTCGTATCCAGTAAAAAGGGTCTCATGTTCTTTACCCTCATTATACAGTTGTTCTGCTGCTATTTTACGCTGGTATTCTGTGAGAGCGTAGTCCTTTCCCGGTCGAGTCGACCCATTCGTGCTACAAGTAGCTGCAGCAGCTCTAATACGTAAAATATTTTTCACAAAATTTATAATAATTCTTTTTAAAAAAATTACTTTTAAGCGTGGCGGTGTACTACATGAGAGCGAAGGCCCGTGCACAGCGCTCCATGGTTGGCATCCTACGACGAATGCTGGTGCTGCAGTCCAAGGACAAGGACTTCCTGCTGGCCGCCATCGACAAGGTCTCCAATGGAGGTGAGTGTGTTCCCTTTTGTGTTAGTGTGCAGTAAACCTCCAAGCCGACTTTAGGGTAGGTTTTTCTGCACACGATTCTGCTTTAATTTTAAATAAGGAGACATGTTTGCAAACAAAGTTATAATTTTAATGAAAAGTAAAAGCGGACTTCAATGAATTAAAAAAAAAGTATGAATAATATAGTAATAATATATGTACGAATTTCCACAACAACTTCTGAAGCTTATTTTTTGTAAAAAGTTTAATTTTTTCACCATTTTTAGACTTGAGACTAAAGAATTTCACAATATTAAATTTTTTTTACCTATTTTCTCAACCGTAGGGGTGGAGTTTTTTTCCTTAAATTTATTTGGGATCACCTAAATAGGTCGTAGTTCAGGGGTGGTTCCATAGAACATTAAGGAAGAATATTATTAAAATCGATTCATAATTAACTAAGATATCGCGCAGCATACATACAAAAAACATAAACACATGTACAATCGAATTGAGCACATCCTACTTTTTTGAAGTCTGTTAAAATGTGACTCAGCAAGCCATTTTCACTAAGCGTATTCGGTAAGAGACTTCAATAGGGTAAAGTTAAAAAGATAATACATGGATTACATACACTGCACTACAAGAAAGAAACGGAGCTGTAGCTAGCGCCTAGCTCATCGTAATGTGGTTCATTAACGCTGCTAGGGCCGCTTAGGTAGGGGTTCATTGATACGTATTGGTATAGTTACTCTATTTCACGATGAAGCTTTGACTTTGGTTGTGTTAGCCGTGCACATACACATTGTGTTAGTGTGCATAGGCCTCTGGAGCGCTCCCGATACGCACACTAACATAATGTGTATGTGCACGGCTACAACAACCAAAGTCAAACCTTCATCGTGAAATTGAATAACTATACGTATTAGTGAGTGTTGATGCGAATTGGTGAGTATTGCCGCGTATTTGTGCGTATTGGTGCGTATATGTGTGTGTGCGTATGCGTGTGTCGTAACGCGTAAACGCTAAACACAATCGCAGAAGTCGAACTATTGAAATTTAAATGTGACGGGTTATTTGGTGCACGCAAATGTACTGCGTAATGTCTATACGCTGCGTTTAGCGAGCGCATCGTTCGTTAAGCAACTTCTGCGTATTAACGCCAGACATTTCATCCATCACATCCTATAGAAGTCCTTATTGCCTCATTGTTTCCCTCTGTTGCCTTTTACGACTCCCACGGGACGAAATGGGGTTTGGAAACAAATATATTGGAATCAATTTCCAAAATGTCGTAACATTTACTTACAACAGGGAATTGTACTAATAACAATTGATAGTTAAGATAGATTAGGTCCACAACACTAACTACAAACAAATTTTGGAAGCGCCTTTTACGTTTTCCAGAACTAATTTATTAAAACTAAGTGGAGAGACGTATGTACAAAAATTCATGTACGTTCATTATGTCGTTAATTACAATGCCTTCACGCAGAAAGGGCCCTTTCTTGACACCAGATGGTGTATCCATTAAACATTGTTGAAATCGTGAAATGTCTGTAAGGCCACGTCCACACGGCGACGAACCGTATACGTGCAAAAATCGAATCGACCATTCGATTCGATTTTTCATGTATACGGTTCTACCGTATACGTTTATTTTTATTTTTTGTCAGTAAAGCTTGGCTTACGTGACATTATATATATATATATGTCACTACTATTCAATTAACTCATTTTTTCAACTTACTGGCTTATTTTATAATGCTTTTTATCTGCTTGTGGGTTTGGAATATCAAAGAAGTTATTTTTGGTGTATTTTATGTGAATTTCAACCACTAGCCGATCACTAGCCTATTGGTTGAAATTCAACAGTAATTTATACATTTTTTTTATTTGTATATTAAACAAGCTGTATTGCACTTTCTACTGCACATTTAAACATAGATAGCTCATAATAGACAAAATACACTCCACAGACTATTGAAAAAGGAATATTTGAATTCACACAAAATTATGTAGTAATTATTTGTTGGCAACATTTTAAACTTTTATATCTATATTTTGTAAAACCCATGTAGATTTTGTAAAATGTAATATTTTTTGACCCTACATATTTTCAGAATGGCTTTATAGTCCCAAACCAGAAGACCAAGGCGCCGACAGTCACACCTGGAAATACCTCCAAGAAGTCCGCAAACCTTCCAACGCCGGCTACCATTTCGACCCCACCAGGCTCAACCACTCGATGATCGAGAGGCCGCGTTCGTACGCCAAGGATATACGCCCCAATTCGTACCACATGGAGAGACGGAAGTCCAGCGAGGACGGTGAGACCGACAGCTCTTTCTCTTGGCAGGGATCCGGGAACTGTTTGAATAAGGAGAATGATGCCGAGGTTGGCAAGTGGTTGTAAGTTATAAGTTAACACGTCTCCCATAGCATTTATAATTTTTATTCAAACTTCCTTTTAAAAGTCAACAATAATGTTGTCCAGTTCTTTTTTAAGTGGCGAGAGATTCTTTCGAAGTGAATGTAAATGAATTAGTCTGAACTTTTACTACTAGTTTTGAGGTGATATTTATTCTAGATCCTTCAAAACGAATGCGTTTGCTAAATAAATACAATCCTCCAGTTTTTGGGTATACGTCTTCTAGTATTTTTTTATTTCAATATTTTATATGAATTTAAACAATTTGAACGATCTCTATTAAGTTCGTCGATATTATTGTGTCATAATAATGTCTTCCAGAGTATTATCAATACAACATAATATAGTAAAAGATTAAGATGTAATCAATTAGGTAATTGAAATGAGCTATTGCTAGGTATTCTGATTTTTATATAGAGTGTAGTCAATTTAGGGTAATGTTTTATTTTTATTTATTTAATTCGTGTTGTGAATAAAACATGTAAACTTTGCAAAGCATCAATGAAATGAAATACTTGCTAAAATAAATTTAAAGTTTTGTTGTTTTTCACTAGTTTTTAAAATTGTGCAAGCTACTTTTCTCCTTAGAGATGTCAATGTACTATACCTAATACGTTGTTATGCCAAAATCAATATTGTCAGAAGAAAACTATATATTATTTCTGCCGCAAAACAGCAGAACGTACACTGCTGTGTTTCGGTCTAGTTTCGGTAACCAGCCTAATTACTGACTGTCGTTGAGTTATATGTACTACGTTCTAGAGAAGAATTGCGCCTGCGCGATCAGTTTATATAAAGAAATATATATTTTCATGAATTTTTCTTTTGTAATATTACGATATTATTACCTATTTATTCACTTGAACAACAAATAATTTTACTTACTTGACTACTGAATTGTTATTTACGTCCAGGTTTAAACTTTAATCTGAAATCTTGTATTATTAGCGCCGCTCCACACTGCATGAATATTGAAACCATGAAGCAAATACAAAGAGGAGACGTTGTAATTAAATTTCACTATGAAACAACGCGTGACAATTTGCGGGGTGAGGGTATGCAAAGCCCCGCCCACTTTACACTATCTACATCTACCCATAAATAGTAAAACTACTCGAATCTTTCCATATCAATGTTGCAATGTAGCTTAGCTACCTTGACGGTAGATGGCGGCATGTCGACAAAATGTTATAAACTAAAAAATAATATTTTGGCGATTAAAATTTCTTTGTTTGAATGCAAAACAAATTTTAGCACCTTCGTATAATTATTTTATCATTACTGAGCTCTACGTACCTTTATATTTTTAGTTCACAGGACACAAAGTGTCGCCATCTAGTGTCGAATATATTTAAATATATTTGAAAGCCGACGCAAAGAGATTTTTCTAGAACTATTTTAATAAATTAGGTGTAAAATTATTTATAAATGAAATATGATGCCATCCATAACATCAGAGCGTCTATCTGAGTAGTTTTTACACGATAAAACATAACACTTCATCCTTTTCTTCTTAATACTACGAAAATACATCGATTTGCGATTTTTTCAACACAAAAGCGCACAGGACGAATGCTGACAGTATACTAACTAAAGCCACGCTCACTATGATGACGTCAGGACCTACTTAGAATCACAGTGCACAGTTGCTTATGCCGTCTCCCCTTTGTATTAGCTTCATGATTGAAACCACAGACTAACTAGTAGATTGAAACCACACTAAATGACACCCTGTACGGATTGCAGTACACTTCAGTTGAACATAGTCTATGTTCGGAATGCGCAATCTAGTACGTAGTACATATATATCGATGGAGGCTGTAGCTACCATCTTAGTTCTCAGAGGTGACAACGCATACGTAGCTTTTTTTAGTTTGAAGTTAGTAGCTCTTGTCTATGGACTGTAGTGGTCACTTACCATCATTTACACTGTAATTTCGTTTGTCACTACAGTTTTATAAAAAAATAATACATAAAAATAAAGCCGTTTACATACATTTTGAAATTACTTGTAACTACTTTAAAGAAATAGACAATAACATACAGTTACATATAACATTAATATTATACGTGCGTAGTGCGGAAAGTATTAGAGAGATATATTGTATTAGTTCGTCATTGTTATATGTAAAAGGTGACTAAGTTACTTAACTGATCAGTGATTATAAATCTCGATGTAACTCATAAAAATCTTTGTCTATTTAAGTAATGCTTAAAGTTGTTCTCTCTATCTATCTATATGATAATAGAAAAAGACAGATCATGGATATAATTAATACTTAAGTCAAGCTAGTAATCATCAAAAATTACAAACATGGCCGTCTAAATCTGTAAATTTAATTTTAAGGCAAAACTTTCAGTGGTACAAGTTAGTGGTTGTTTCTAGTTTGTAACATAAGCATATTTTTGTAATGAACGTCACTTTTTATAAACGCTAGAATACTTGTATTTTTGTATATTTGTCTCACTGTGTATTTCATTATGTTTTATTTAAATTCATTTTTTGAATGGTAAGATACAGGTCCCGTCACGTAAAAAGAACGCTGAGCGACAGTGGAGGGGATGTGTCTGCGCATGGGTACAGTCGCGATCTAAAGTACTATAATTTTATAATATAAGGGTAATTGTTTCATTGTAGAATCATAATAGGTACTTTACTGGCTACTTAGAACTTTGGAAGAGGTTGGAATTAATAATGGATAATATTTACTTGACTATTATTTTTTATTTCTGTCGTAAAATATAAAGTAGGTTGTAACAAGAAAACTTAAGTTAAGGGTGACACGCCCCGCAGTCGATTATATCGTCTTGGGTTACATGGACGCCAGATGTCGATGGTATGTTGGTGTTACTGGATGATATTTCATCATCACTTTCATCTTCGCTTGAGCTTCCGTCATCAGAATTATCATCATCAACGTGAATGATAAATGTTTCCGTCATCAGGTCAACCACATGGTATTTTTTTCGGTATACTTCCTCAATACTTTTAACTTTAATGTACAATTTTTATATATTCACCTTCTCCCATCATATCACCTTTTCGTTCACTCACATTATTTAGTCATAAAACAATAAATATAAATAATTTTTCTTACCTTCCTTTTTAAAACCATCGTCGCGCGTCGTGCATAGAAAGTTGTGTGTGCGACTGTATTTTTGGGAGCGAACGAAGCGCGGGAAACAAGGATCAACTGACGAACCAATAGCGTGCGCGCACAGTGATACTGAGCATTCCCCCGTCGCGCCCCGTCATACCACCAATTTGATCGAAAAATCGCTCAGTGCGCAGGTACAAGGCCAGCGTTCTTTTTACGTGACGGGACCTATAGAATTGTGCTATTAGATAATTTTGTTCTAACTGGTGCTCTTTTGAAATAAAAATAATCGACAATGGCTTTAATTGAAAATAAATAGAGTAAGTCTTCCGGTTAATATTGTTTATTTAACGTGTTCGTGATCCTAACTATGGTGGTTTTATTTTAAACCACCATATGATGTAATATGGTGACAGATAAAATAAAATTTACAATATGTATTACCATAATAAAAAAAAACTAAAACTTAAAATTTAAGTCCTACTCCACGCAGTATAGTGCCAAGCGTTGGCTGCGTGGAGTGAGTGCGCTGAATGGCTATACTTAGCCCTCTTATCACCAGTAGCGACTAGAAGTAGCAGACACGGTTCCTTTAGGACCTCAAGGAGTGATGTGTGTCTCCCAGATACCTATACTTGCGCCAATTACTCAGTTCACCTTGATGATATCTTACCTTATTCATCGTACTATGGTGTGAAAACTGGTCCTTCATATTTCTATAAAGCGTTAAATAATGCGTACACGTAGCATTCATCTAGAAAAGTTCATACCAAGCCCAAAAGGAAGTGAAAGCCCTCAAACTAAGCAACTCCTGCAATATTTTAAAAGTTTAGAACTTAGCAGTGAATTATATACATAGCAGCGATCACAATAAATTATAGTGGTCGCAGTAAAGTCTTGCAAGACCTGCTTAACTGCTCGTAAATAATAAAATTATAAAATGTAACTTGTGTACGCTACACACACTAATAGTTTTTGAAGTATGTAGTCAACTTATATACCTTGGTATACGATATACAATATGTAGATAATACTTTATTCGATACGTGAGGGTGCTTTGAGTTATCGTTATATGATTCTGTTCATAAATTACCTCGCACACAATAAAATATAATTTAATTAAATGGGGAAACCTACATGGCAATACATACAACGCCGGCGACCGTCGGGTAACAATACCGCGACATGTTCAAAGATACCTTCGCCGACGTTGGTGTTGCTAGATTTTAAATTTTTTTATATCATTACGATATTTATTTGTCCCTTTCGGATCGGACTTGGTTTACATATTGTATATCGTAGTAGATTTATATTTAAAAAATCTCAACCTACCAATTAGTAGAAATAATAATTATTGGTAGAATATAAGCAATCTTGTAATGCGATGTGTTTTTGTTACCTTTATATACTTCAAATGATTAATATATATTAAATATAATAATAATTAATATTAAAATGGTTGTACAAGTACTGATGTTGCAAGGACATCATTAATTCATCATATGTTACGGTTATTGCCTACCCCGTGCTTTTTGGGTAAAGTCCGGATAAATTATACATCTATACATATAAACAAAATTGAAGTGTATGTCTGTAATATTGAAATAACTGGCTTCTATTAATCTCACGGGGTTATTTGTGTGCTATTAAGGCATAAACAATTATATTTAAAAAAATCGTCAGTCTGTCTGTCTGTCTGTCTGTCTGTCCAGGCTAATTTTCGGAATGGATCAACTGACTGTGATGAAGATGAAGTCAAACAGACATGGATCTCGTCCATATTTTATCCGAAAATCTAAGTATTTTTTTGAAAAATCGAAAAATTGTTAAAATAAATGGCCTTTGATTATCTCAAATCTACATAACGCCACATTAATACATCATATC